AAAAAAAAAAAAATATTTACCCACAAGAAGGGACAAGAAGGGAAGGGGAGGTGCATCCAGTAGAGGCAGATCCAAGCCCTTCCCCCTGCCTCAAGGCTGCACGAGGTGTCCCATCATAGTGTAAAATGAATGAAAAATTTTCTTAATTAAAAAAATTGTTTAAAAAAAAAAAAGAAATATCTAGGGGGCTGGAGAGATGGCTCAGTGGTTAAGAGTACTGGCTGTTCTTCCAGAGGACCTGGGTTCAATTCCTAGCATCCACATGTCAGCTCACAACCATCTATAACTCCAGTTCCAGGGGATCAGACACCTTCACACCAATGCACATAAAATAAAGTTAAGTGATTTATTAAAAAAAAGAAATATCTATTCAGACAGCTCAATAGTTAAAAGCATGTATTGCTCTTTCAGAGGACCTGGTTCAGTTCCCATATGATGGTTTACAACCACCCTTAACTCCAGTTCCAGGGTGGTTTCCAATGTCCTCTTCTTGGTTTCCTTGGACACCAGGCATGCATGTGATGCACACACATGCAGGCAAACACAAACATATCTTTAAAAATGTATCTATTTAGTGTCCTTCATGCTGTGAGGAGAACAAGGTAAATCAGAGCGTGGTGGGTACCCTCAAGGTGCCAGCTGCTGAGTGACAGAATATGAACAAGCCATGTGGCATAAAAATGCCATAAAGTTTTAGACAAAATCTCTGTGCCTTCTCCATAAGTATAGTTAAGATTAGGAAAGGTCTCAGTTAGAGTGTGGATGTAAACAAGGGTAAGGAGACTATTCAGGCTTCAGGGAGAAGTCCCTACAGAGGTCAGTGGATAATTTAGGTATCCTAAGGCAAACGTAGGAACAAGAGAAATACTGACCATGAAGCTGTGAAGGCAGTTTGGAGCCATAGCTGAGGCCATCAGAATCAAGGCCTTTGTAAGGAATGCTGGGGCATTTTACAGGCAACAAGGGGGTAGCAAAAGGGTTCCGATGACAAGCCAAAGCTGATTACAGACAAGTTTCCCTGGTAATAACTAAAACAATGGATTGGGGCAGAAGATTGGAAGGTTTTGGGGAAGTCTGCAATGGCTCAGAAGGGAGACACCAAAAGCTGAGGCGCTAGCAGCTGCAAGGGACCATGGCAGGAAGAGAGGTGTGTGTGTTGGGTGTGTGTGAGTATGTGGGCATTTTGTGGGGGTGAAGACGCACATGTGGAGTCAGAGGACAACTTTGGGTGCCATTCTTCAGGTGCTCTCCTCCTTTTGTTTGAGAGAAGTCTTCCACTGGCCGCGAACTTCACCAGACTAAGCGGCCCCTGAGCTTCCGGGGATCTGCTGTCTCTGCTTCCCCGGGGCTGGGATTACAGGTGCACGCTACTGCAGGTGTCTTTTCACTTGGGTGCTTGGGATCCTTATGCTTGCAGGCAACTTAACCATCTCCTCAGCCCAAGAATAGGTGTGCTGCTGCTGTTGTTGTCGTCAAAAAGATTTCAGAGCCTGGCAGGGGTGGTACACGACTTTAATCCTGGAGGCAGGCAGATCTCTGTGGGTTTGAGGCCAGCCTGGTTCACAAAGTGAGTTCCAGGACAGCCAGAGCTGTAACACAGAGAAATCCTGTCTTGAAAAACCAAAACCAAAACCAAAAAAAAAAGTCGGGTGTGGTGGTGCACACCTTTAATTCCCACACTCAAGGCAGAGGCTGGCAGATCTCTGTGAGTTTGAGGCCAGCCTGGGCTACAGGGTTGAATTCCAGGACAGCCAAGGCTACACAGAGAAACCCGGTCTCAAAAAACAATTTTTTAAAAATATTTATTTATTTTTATGCCTATGAGTGTTTTACCTGCACGCATGTGAATGCACTGTGTGTGTGCCTGGTGCCTCTGGAGGCCAGGCAAGGTCACTGTCTCCCCAGAACTGAAGTTATCCCTGCCTGTGTGCCCACTGGGGACTGAACAAGGCCCTCTGTAAGAAGCAAGCGGTCTTAACCACTGAGCCATCTCTCCAGCCCTTCTACCTTACTTGTTGGAGACAGGGTCTCCTGCGGAACCTGGAGTTCACGGATTTGCCTAGGCTGGCTCACCAGTGAGCCCCCAGGAGCCACCCCACCCCTCTGCCCCTCCTCGTTGTCTGGACTACAGATGTGCACTGCTGTGCTTGGGTTTCATGTGGGTGTTGGGGATCTGAACTCCTCTCCTCTCCTCTCCTCTCCTCTCCTCTCCT